GATGATGATGATGATGATGATGATGATGATGATGATGATGATGATGATGATGACCTAGAGCTATTGGTAGTTAGGTAATAGCAAACACCGTGCACAAAATTCAACCTTATCCTCCAATCTTACTTTATCTTAATTCAGACTGAGAGTGAGAGTGAAAGGAAGTTGAATTAATCATGACAATTGTAGCGTTGCTCTATACGCTTGTACTGCAATAGTTTCGTTCCCTTCTTCTGGTCGAATTTCATTACTGTAAAAATGTTAAGCTAAAGCAGGGTATTACGCTAGCAATGTACATGAAGTATGCACTGCCTGTGGGAAGGTTGTTTTTTCCTGTTTGCTGATTGATTACGTAGATGCACTTTGTGATCATGCTACAAATTACTCTGCGAAGACACTTCTACCACCTCTTGTTCGAGATCTTGACGCGTATCGTGCGATCGGGTCTTTGTATCGATTTCTAGTCAGCCGGGGTTACATAAGACCTAGGATAAGGCGGACCTGCCGCTCTGCGATGTTTATGTTACTCTCTGAACCGGAGATAGACGAATTATCCGCAACAGGATCGTCTGCGCACTCATGTCTCAGTGAACAAATTCTGTATAATATTATTATTATACAGATTAAGCAGTTTGTGCCCATAGACGTCCAGAGGAATTTGTAGTCTCATTCCGTTATTGGTTGAAGAAATGGAAAGAAGAAAAACTGTAGGCGTCTGTCGGCCATCGCTCCTGGCAGGCATTGTGTTGAAAGGGTGCACTTCGCTATATTGTTGACAATGTTTCCGTTGCTTTTCGATAAGGTCATTGAAAATTGTTGTTTTCATTACATTAGACATTAACTAGGTAGTTGAAAACAGAGCATAAAGAACGGCAATTCTTTTTTGTGTTATAATATTATGTCCTTGCTAATGTACTTAAGGTGGTTTAGTAAGGAATGCTCGATCCTTATCTTCCCCACGGAAGAAAAAGATCGAGTATTTGAGGGGTAAAGCATTATTTACCTGCTCAGTTATTACTTAAATGATCAATGAGTTTTAAACTTATGGCTACTACAAGAGCCTACAGCCTGCTGATGAAAGCAATCGCAGTCCATAAAATATATAAATCACTTCAGAGTATCAGTTATTTGTGCAGGCTACCGGAATTGTTGCAATGCATTCATGTCTATTTTGCTTTAAAAGAAACATTCGTTTTGAACCTCCACAACCTTTGGTGGCTGCATTGCGCCAAAGACTCTAGTTTGATCTTTCATTATCCTTCAATCTGTGATTTTTTTACCCTCTCTGAAAGGGTGCTTTTGTTCTTTTGAAACTTAGTCAGGAAACGAGGATTCTCGTCGGAAAATGTACAGCTTGTCGACAAGAGTTAAATAATAAGAATTTAACAGGCTGTTTTTAATAATTTTGCTCACCCTCTTTCCCCGCCATATTCACGCAGACTATTACATGTATTTGCATTATTGTGTTATTTATATAAGCAAGTTCTTCCCTCGGCGCTCGCCATCACAACAGAAAAAGCGGGTGCGCGTGGTGCTGTATGGATTTCCACGTCCCGGAAGAACCGCTCTGAGACGAGATAACGGCGGTGCCATTCCAGAGGGCGAGGGCGACCCCAGTGGGTGAGAGTGCGCCACGGTGGTACCTGCGCGCGGGTGAACGAGGGAGAACTTCGGGTGGCCGCTGGGCTTACGAATTTTAGTTGGGCCACGGAGCCTCGTTCTCACATAACAACAAGTATGCTATGGCGGAAGGTGCTCCCGTGCTCTCAGCGAGGATGAGAGAAAACTTATTCATTGGTGATAATGGAGTGGATAGTATTGACACAGCTTCACAAGGAAGCAGGGATGAAATTATTGACAGAGATCCCGGATTTGTGGAAGACAGATTTCGGGTAGACAGGAAAAAGTTGGAACAAATGCTCCAACTCGGTAAGTTTTTGTATGTTCTCTTCGTCGAGTGATCTTGAACAGTTTGTTTTGTTAGCGTTATGTCCCTTGGCTTTTGTTATGAGTTTTATAGTGACCCAAGGATGGAATTCTTTGGAACTCTCCCTTTTTTTAAGGCTGGTACCCATGACTACAACCATAAACTAGTCACAGCGGGATATGAATCACCCATTCCCCTTTTATCGAAATCTTATTTTAGATTGAAATTTGTAAACAAAAGATTGAAATTCTAGATCTAGAAAAAAAAAATCTAGATCTAGTCTAGATCCACAGGTCTTTTCGCCCTGGCGATCAGTGAAACAAAAACTGGCGGTAATTTTCACATTTCATCGTTGTCGTACAATTCATCAGTGACACCAGTCTCAGTAGCCTAAATTTAAATATTTCTAAACAAACACCGACGATTTGTGACGATTTGGCTGGGTTTGTTCTGAGTAATATTAAGGTCTGGAAATAGGGCTGAGGTAGATCCTCTAGATCTAGATCTAGTAGTAGTAGCATATATGGTCAGTGGATGAACTGCTTCTAGGAAATAATTTTGACCTCTATTTGCGTCTATTCTTTAAAATTAGCTTTAAAAAATGAAGGCTTTTTACTTTGTGTCCATTGGTTTAGAAGAATGTAGACAAGTTCATAGCAAATTCTAACTGTGTCAACTTTTATTTTACACTGAAGAAAGAGGTTAGAAACTGTACATATATATCTCTTCTAAGAGACTAAATGATAAATTTGACTGAACTCTGTGGTCTCCCTCAGACTCAGAGGCCTTCTTTAACAAAAGCCGTCCAGTTTTGGGCAGAGACTGTCCTAAAATATTGTATCTAGATTCTAGATCTAAGTGGTCAAAATAGCTTTTTTTCTGTTTTTACTTTCTGATTACGGTACTGAAAGATTCTGATAGCTCTAACACTTTGCGGTCACTTGGTGCAACAATGCGACGGGGAAAATTATCTGTTCCAGTCTCCTGGCGCATTTTTGTGCCAGGCCCGAGAAGTCTGTTGCAGGTACAGTCAAACCTGTGTAAGACGGCCACCCATTGTCAAGGAGAAAAGTGGCCGTATAAGACAGGTGGCCGTCTTAAGCAGGACTGACCAACATGAAGAAAACAAACCATTCCCATCTGAAGTCCCAATCGAAAGAAGCCGCATTGTTGTTGTTTTTGTTGTTAGTTTGTATTTTGTTTGTTATTTTTATTTTGTTGCTGATTTTGCGCAAGGGTGACAATAAAACTAAATGTATCAGACGAGGAAGACCGAGTGCCATGTTAAAACAAACACATGGGTCGCCACCACTCTGAGAAAGCGACGCTTCTGTCACAACTTCATGTTGGCGTCCATTGTTACTTTGTTACAGACTGGGTAAACAGTGACCACTCATCTCACTTCACGATTTGTGTATATATGAGTTCTGGGCTGGGCTTATGGGTTATGAGGGATCACATGCTTACGTACCTCACCAGCAGCTGAAAATTGGTACCTATTGGTCAACAGTGGGAGGGACCTGCGCGACATGGTTGGTTGGAAGGACTACCTAACAACAACGGTGATTGGATTATGACGTCTCGCCCACTACGCCAGGGGCCAATGCATGATTTATGACAAAACATAATGGAGTCACTTAGGTGGCCGTCTAAGACGGGTGTTATTGCTTAGTGTGATAGGGGTTGTGTGTTAAAATATGGTGGCCGTGGCCGCGTTGGACAGGTGCCTGTTTTACACAGTTAAAATATATAGAAAAAACGCAAGGGAGGAAATGGAAAGGGGCCGTTTGTACAAGAGGCCGTCTTATAGAGGTGACCGTCAGGGCAGGTTCGACTATACTTTCTGAGTGACCAGATGGGCCATTTTGTACTGCTGGCTGTGTGATTGCAAAGTGTTAAATCAAAACTTCATAACAAGAGTTATTTGCATTTAACATTTGATCTTTTTAGTTGAATTTGAAAGAATTTGATAATAGATTTATATCTTGAACTGATAATTTAGTCACACTGATCAAGTTGATGGACAATAATTGTTTTCTGGGTGATTGGCAGGTGCTCTGGTGTGGTTTGCTCCTTTCCCATCAAACATCTGTTGTTCTTATGTCTGCTCGTTCTTTTCTTTGTAAGTATGTTAATCCCTAATAACACCTCTCCTCTAATCTTTAGCATTTATAATGTACGACCAATTTGTGTTGCAAGTTCTGTAGAATTCCAACTAAAGCTAAAACTTAGAACTGCTCAGTTGACTTTAATTTTGCAAATTTTTCTTGATCTTGCAATCTTGGGCTTTAATTGTTGATGAAATTGTAGACCCTATTCTGCAAATTGTAAGAGTATACTGTGAGGCTAAGTTGATCAATGTCAAGTGGATTATAACTGAAAGTTGTTTAGTTTACATCATCTTTTGGTATTGTAGGTGAAGTAGCAAAAAAAAGCATCTCAGGTTTTTACTTTTACAGAAGACTGCTTAAACCGAAGTCTGTGGTAGCCTACTGCTTTATTTTATTCAGTCTAGACAGGTATTCATATTAGAAAGGTTGTTCAAATAACAATGACTGACCTGCCCTTTTCAATTATATTATTGCACATCTGAGCTGCAAGCTGTATGTATGCATGACCCTTTCTCTTTGGCATTGTTTATTCTGCTGAACAGTCACACAGAACAAATGAAAGAGTAAAATAGAGAAGTGTCAAAGAAAGCCAATGCCAATGACATTATGAAACACACCACAAACTCATATGTGCAGGGCCAATGTGAACTAGCTGTGCACAGACAATAAATAAGCCATGACCAACTGAAGGTAGGATGACAGACTTACTTTTGCTATCATTGCATCACAAGGCCTTTACACAGTGAGTGTGAAAGCCTACTGATTGTGTATAGTGATGCCTCTGTCTGGCACGTAATTGATGCACGTGCATTCCTGTGTTTCTTTTTTCTGTTTTGCTATCTTGAAGTGCTTAAGACTTGATGATTTGGGTTACTTGAAGGTTGTTGGTGAAGATTTAGATGGCATTATACCCTCGAAATTCTTTTTGGCTTTTAAAATACATACGGGAGCATTTCAGCTAATTGGTAGTTTTGGTTAGTTGTTAATCCTATCCGTACATCGTGTTTCACTATCGTATCCATGCGACGTGGGGAACTCTGTGCCACCACTTTCCAAAGAGGAAATTTACTTGTTAATCCGATCTGTACTCTTTGCATAGCAGTCTGTCAAAATGATTTTTTGAGAAATACTGAAAGTTTCAAAGAGATCTTCTTACTAGGAATATTGTAAATTGTGAAGAATACGATCTCGGGGGTACAAAATGACCCCAGGGAGTACGAATAGGGTATAGTAAACACTATTATGAGGCCAACAGTTCTCGAGATGTTTTTTTTTTCTTTTGTTTTTTTTGTGATAATGTAGGTGATTATATTCCTTCATCGACACAATTAAGACCATTTAGGAAGTAGGCTTTTGACCCTGCCTGTCAGAACTAACCTGACAATAAGTTGATAAGATTTTTTTACTCACTCAGGAATGCGTGTGGTAGTGAAGCGCCTAACTGCTACACCTTAGACACAGGTACTTTCAAGATTGCCCGAAGCACAAATGTTGCCCTTTGTAATAACATCTCGTTACCTCAGAATTACAAAGTTCTATCTTCATAGTACCTATTTTTTGAGAAATTTGACATAAAAGATTTTGAGTTTCACATCATGGCAAGCTTTTTCAAATTTCATTCTTCTTTGAATATCTTTGATACTGACTCCAAATAATCTTGCTATTTTGATAGAGCAGATAGAACATTTGTTTTCTGACCTCGTCTTAATAACTCAAAACAACAAAAAATGTCAGAGAGGTAGCAATCTGCCTAATATAAAAGGAGAAACCTCTCAAGGACACTCAACAAGAAGCGCCCTTTGCCTTTCATTAATGATCCATCCAATAAAAAGGGAGGATTCTTCTCTTTTATGAGACTTAGTCTGAATGATTCCAGTTATAAATTATGAAACTGAAATATTCAAGTACTAATGACAAACGTATTTTAGTATTGGTGCACTGCCTTTTACTATGAGGGGACTGTTTTGACCCTACGATTGGATCGAACACGTGGGTGGTTGGAGGGTGCTCTGCTGTAGTTTGCTCCTTTTTCCTATCAAACATCTATCGTCCTCATCTCTCCTTCTTTTTTTGTGTTTGTTACTTGCTCAACACCTCTAATCTTCGACACTTACATAACGGTATTGTGTTGCAAGTGCCGCAAAACTCTTACAGAGACTAAAGGATATAATACTGGGGGTTAGAGATTAGGGATAGTGATCGAGTGGATAAAGGAAGAGTTAGTGATTGGAACAGGAGAGCTCGGGGTATCTTCTGAGGACAGTTTTTACTTCTCGGAGGTCTGTCTTTACTCTTCACCTTCGCTCCCTGTAGAACAGACTGTCCATTCTTTGTCTACTCAGAAACAGGATGTGCTTGCAGTGATGTTAATGATGTGTCCGTTCAAAGAATTACATTCACAGTTTAAGTTTTACCTATGTTTGAGGTAGTTTCATGATAGCACCTCTCCTGGATACAATTTTTGTAAGAAACTTCTGAGGAGAAAGATGGAAAGACAATATAATTTAAAATTTTGCTCCTTTCATTGACATTAATGAAACATTATGTACTGTTTTGTTGATATCATGTAAGATCACTGTGCCTCTATGCTATGCTATGATTACCTGATTTGCCTTAAATTAGGATACAGACTTTTTCGTTATGAATTCAGCACAAATGTGAAGGTCATGTGAGGCTCATCTGAGAGAAATCATTGCAGTACTGCAGTTGTTAAAGATTATAACATGATTATTCTTGCTCAAGACTTTCTAAATTATGCTTTTGTCCCTTATGTACTGCATTGTTGTGTTATTCTAGAAAAGTTGCTTCTGTTTTAAAGAACTACGTGATAATAAGATGTTGAGGATGAGTTGAATGGTGTTTCTTAATACAAAAGTTGGGGATAACAACAA